GGTTCGAGACCCGCCTGGGCAACTTGGCGAGACCTCATCTCTTCAATAAATCAAAAATTATAGCCGGGCGTGGTAGCGCACGCCTGTAGTTTCAGCTACTTGGAAGGCTAAGGCAGAAGAATCGCTGGAGCCCAGCAGGTTGAGGCTGCGGTGGCCGGGAACGTGCCATTGCACTCCAGTCTGGGTGACAGAGTGAGACTCCAACTCAAAAAAAACAAAATGACAAAAGCATAAAAGGGATCCAAATTGATGAGTTTAAAAAGGATTTTAAGCAGTGGAAAAAGCATCTTGATAGGCGTATTGCGTCAAACAGAGAGGACTTTTTTTTTTCAGTTGGAGTCTCACTCTGTCAGCCAGACTGCAGTGCAGTGGCATACTCCCGGCACCGCAGCCTCGACCTGCTGGACTCCAGCGATCCTTCCGTCTCAGCCTTCCAAGTAGCTGGAACTACAGGCACGCGCTACCATGCCCGGCTAATTTTTTGATTTATTGCAGAGATGAGGTCTTGCCAAGTTTCCCAGGCAGGTCTCGAACCCACGGGCTCCCGAAGCGCAGGATTACAGGCTGAGCCACCAAGCCTGGCTGTGGAGAGGACTTTTAAGGTGACTGAAGTTTAAACATGTCAAAATAAATACACAAATTTTTATGAATAAATTCTGGGTTTCTTTGGGTCTCCACATTAGTTTGAGTTGGTCCATTTTATGAATACATCACTCGTTGATTGTTAGGATGAAGTCAGATATTCAGCAGTCTGCTAGGGCCAAAGCGGTGCCAGGCTCTGCAGGAGAAATCTGCTTGTCTTGTTATGCAAGAGGGGGGCAGAAGTGACACTAGGTGAGGGGTAGCAAGATGACAAGGCAAGACACTTGTACCACAAGCAAGCCCAGAATGTTGTGGTTGTCGGTGCCCAGGCTTTCCAAGCTTCCAGAGGTAGGGAAAGGGCCTATCAGCAAGTCTAGGTGCCAGGCTGAACCAGGGGCTTAAGGGATGGGCATGGGACTCGCAGTGTCTCACCAAGAAGACTCAGTAGCAAGTGCTTCCCTAAGTGTGGCTGGCAGGCTGGCCACATCCGAATCACCTGGATTCTCGTTAAAATGTAGCTTCCAAAAATAGTGCTGGAACTGTCTTGGGAGTGAAGGTGGGGTATGTGAGCTGAGCCCTCATCTACCATGGCAGGGAGACAATGAGTGATGCTTGAAGTTGATAAAAACAAGAGCTAGCTTATCATTTAGCAATAAGAAGGTAAGCACTGAGAGATCAAAAGCATGATTAAAAGCAGTTTCACAGTTACCTGTAGGGAGCACCACCCGGGGTTGAGAGCGCTGCTTTCATTATAA